ATATATAGGTGGAGGTTCAAACGAAAACATCTCCATTTTACGAGAACGCGAGAACACCCATATCACATGTGATAATACCCGTGAGGGGATCTTGTGATGTGTGGACGACGTGTTCTACGACTTAGGTTGTGCCAAAGGTTGTCTGCGTCTATGATTTAGCATCACAAGTGATGGTCTTGATGGATTATAGTATCATATCAACAACAACAACCTTATCACATTAGATAATACTTGTGAGAGGGCTTAGTGGTTTAAGGACGACTTGGCCCGCAATCAAGATTGCATCGAAAATTGCCCGTGTCTCTGATTTAGTATTACATGTGTATCATATGTGATGGAATAATAGTATCACATGTGATTGTCTATAGTAAAAGGATGTTCTCACGTTCTCATAAAATGAAGGTGTTCTCGTTTGAACTCTTCCCTATATAGATATTGCGATATTTACTCTTCGACTATTGTCTGGATCAATACTCAATGCATCAATAGACATAACAATATACCTTAATTAATTGTGAAAATGGATAAAAAAATCTGATGTCCCAAATTTCCCATCTTAATCTTATTGACCAATCACATAAATATACATCACTAAAGAGGAAATAAAAACATTAATCAAATATATTCATACACTACAACAAAATCTGGTTTATAGAACATTCCCAATTTCTAAGCATCCTAATAGACCTCTTTATAAGACTTAGTTTATAGGACAAAAAAATAAAGTGTCCTATCTAAAGGTGTTGTAATAAGTTTATACGACGTTTTTTGATGTCGTAATAAGTTTTTTAGGACTCTTTTAATATAAAACATCCCATTAGCAACTTCATAGGACACTATTTAAAAAATTGTCCTATAAAAACAAAAGTCCTATAAAAAATTGAGTTTATAGGACACTTTCTCAAAAGTGTCCTATAAAGTTGCTAATGCGACACTTTGTATTAAAAATATCCTAAAAACTTGTTAAGACGTCCAAAAGCTCTCATATAAACTTATTAACACCTTTAGATATGACACTTCATATTTTGGTCCTATAAATTAAGTCATATAAAGGGGTCTATTGGGACGCTTAGAGATTGTGAGTGTCCTATGAATCCAATTTTGTTGTAGTGATAATAAATAAAATATTTATATGCCTTCGTGTGATTGGTAAGAGAAAGATGAAGCAGTAAAATTAGAACAACATATTTTTATCCGTTGATATCTTCCTTCGTATTGATCATACGATTGGCATTCTGCCAGGCGGCCTTGTCTTCCGACTTTTACATAGCAATAAGTGTTTCGGAATCGGAGGTGGACGAAGTGCTAGCAACAAGAGTGTTGTGTTTGTTGGATGCCATCCAAGACACATATTTTTGTCATCTTGATTCATATGTTGTTCTGTACAATCTAGAATGCAAAATGGACGATTACATGTATATAGCATAAAGTTGTAAACTGAAATTTTATAATATAATATGATATCAATATTAATGTATATGCTCTTTATAATTGAATTTTTGAAAAATGTTAAAATTTTGAAATATATATATCAGGTATGTACATTAAATTAAAGAGAATAAAATACTTGTATTTTATGTAGGTTGTTTAATTAAAAAATAGTTAATTATATTTAAGATAATTTTTTAAAATGAAGTAATTTATGGAAAGGGTAATATGACTTTCCCATAGACACTTTCAAGTTCCTTTTGTTATTGTTTACAAAATAAGCAAAATAAGAAAATTGTAAAAAATGAAA